ATTTTAAGAATTTTAACAGTTTTCACAAGTTGGTCTAAGCTTCAAAGATACTGTATATACAGTATAAACCTATCACGTGTCAGGTTAAATTTTATCAATTATGAGTATTCACTAGTTAACACCGAATTAACATAATGCAATACATATTTAGATTAGGTTGGTCTATTTTAATTCGCACTGTTGAGATAGCGTCGAAATATAGCATCCTATAACATTCATTTTATGTTATTTGCCACATATTTCATATAAACTACTACTTATCACTGGGTGCTATCCTTCAGCATTACGCTGTAATTCAGGACTTATGAAAATATACAGAATTTAGAAAACAGATGGAAAATACAAAGTGATCATTTTTTTAGCCTTAATTAATTCATTCATTAATTTTTTTTTTAAAGTTAACTTTGTTTATGCGCGATATATGATCCATAAAACAAAATATATACCATATGTATTCTACCCATCTTTTTAAATCATTTTATTTATTGTTAGTTATACAAATGAAATATATAAAGTAAAATTATCACGATAATCATGGAATTATCAAATTAATAAGGTTTGAATCTATAATCACAAGTAAAAAAAAGAATTTAACAATTATGTATTAATTAGAAATAATTTGTATGAAAATTTACCTGCTCTGGTTAGATTATCATATTTAAGTAATCTACTGGTATAAATTGCTTCTGAGTGAATTTCGTCTAATTCATCTGGATCTTCCAGAGGGATTAAATCTGCTTCCTCAAATGCCTGTTTAATTTTATACTTCTCTTCCTCTTCACTTGGATAGTAATTATCGTTCAAGGAAGAATGCCAAAAATTTATTATTTCCAATATTTCTTTTGATGATGGCCTGTTATGTGGATCCTTATCAAGACATTTGTTAACCAAATCAATATAAAATTGTGGTGTATTTTCGGCAATTTTTGGCTTTAATCCATTGCAAATTCTTAATGCAAGACCTAGATTATGTGGTTTATTGCTAAATGCTGGTCTTCCAGTTGTAACCTCAGTCATTATAACACCAAAACTGTATACATCTGCTGCCTGGGTATAGGGCTTTTCGCACAATACTTCAGGAGCCATATAAGGTAGTACACCGTATATTCCATTGCTAGTATCATTGTTATATTTTGTGAAAGACCAAAATCCGCTATTCGTGATAGAAAATTAGAAATTTGTAAGATATTACCAGGATGAAAGTCTTGATGCATATAATTATTCTTATGTATTTTTTCTAAACCAAGTATAATACTCTTAAGTATTTTTATTTTATCATGCCATTTAAGTTGATTAAATTCCGATTTAAGATAATTTCTTAGGTTCCCATCTTTAGCATATTGCATTACCATCATGTAATCTTTGGTTTTCGGATCCTGAGTAATTCCATATAATTCGATAAGAAGTTCGTGATCATCTTTTTGACATTTATAATGTGTTTTAATCTTTATTTATAAAACGGAATAAATAAACCTTTATTGCAAATTTACTTTAAGATATATTATTACGTTTACCTCATTGAAAAATTCATTCGATAAATTTTTTGAACCTTTCAATTGCTTAACGGCTACAGTTATTGGTTCCCGAACGAGATTTCTTACAATCGTTATTAAATACTCTTATACCGTCTAACCAAGTTGTCGAGTATACATTTCCGAATCCACCTTCTCCGATTATTTTAAAATCAGTAAACTTTTCATAAGAAATCCATTCGAGAAAACTACTGGTATAGCGTGTTGCCTCAAGCTGAGTGTTTTTGATTAAATTATCGACATATAAATTTCCACTTGTCCATTCTTGAGTTAACGGGATACATGACGGGCACCAATCATACGATGTGTTAAATCTTTGGCATTGTGAACAAGTTCCATAAAGTTTGTTTCTCTCATATTCAAACCTATCTCCTTTATATTCAAATATCTCTCCCATTTCAAATTAACCAATATACGTTAAATTCAGATGGTTGGAAGAGCTAGATATAGTTGACGATGACAAAGTATATAAAATTGTCACCTCCAAGTTACATAAATTAATTTCCTTTGCAATATTGCTTATGTTACATCAGATAGAATAATGTTTTACATTATGATATTTTTAATTTCTTTTTGATCACGAATATATTGTTACTGTAAACAAAAACTTGATTTTCAAGCTTTTGAATCTATCGATTTACAGTATTGCTGTATTGTGCTTTAATTACAAAATCCATTTTTATTCTAAACTGTCTTTAAGCTTCATGATAAGTTACCACGAAGTCTAAAGTAAGTTCGGATTCTGTTATATTTATATATTTACTAATAAAAATATAATTCTTATTTAATGCCCAATACTGTAAATTGATAGATTCAAAAGCCTGAAAATCAAGTTTTTGTTTGATTTTGCCGTGTAACAAGTAATAGCAGTTTGTAATATCAAATGTATTAAATCTATTACAGGCCTATTGATATTTAATTAATTAAATTGTGAAAACCAATTTGTATTCTTTCTTTAATTTGTCCCAGAACGTCGCCTCTGCAATAAAAGCATCTTTTTGTGCTATCTGTCTTTCATATTCTTTTTTACTTTCTAGTTTAGCCTTTCCTTTTTTATCGCCTCATTTAAAGGAGCCAGAATATCATCCAATTCTGGAAAACAATTTTTTATTGCTAAAATCTACCAAAGAACTTTTAATCAAAAAAATAGAAGATTTTATATTGGAAATTCTTAAAGTCTTCTTCATTTATAACTTATAGTATTTGTATCCATAAAATTAAAATTGCTTCAATTTTGTTAGTAAAGACTTTTAATATATTATACTTAATAAAAGAGTAAATGGCGTTAAAAAGAATAAACAAAGAACTTCATGACTTAGAGCGTGACCCGCCGCCAGAATCAGAATACACCATTGCGCCAATCGAAAACGATCTTTTCAAATGGCAAGCTACAATTATGGGACCATCTGACTCTCCATACTCTGGGGGTACCTTTTTTCTTTCTATTTTCTTCCCTACACAATATCCTTTTCAACCACCAAAGGTTTGCTTTACAACTAGAATTTATAACCCCAATGTTAACTCTTATGGATCTATAAGCTTGGATATTCTAAATAGATTTTGGACGCCTGCTTTTACTATTCGGAAAGTAATTTCGGAAATTTGTTTAGTAATGATTGAACCTAATCCTTATGTACCATATCCATTGAACCCTGAAGCCACACTATTATATAAAACCAATAGAGCTCTTTATGAAGCGACTGCTCGTAAATGGACAAAAAAGTATGCAATTTGGGAGCAAAAGAGCACAGCAGAGCAAAAAAATATGACAAAACAAGAGAGCCTAACAGAATTAGAGAACATGGCAGAGAAAGAGACATCAAAGCAAAAAAGCACAGCAGAGCAGAGAACACAGCAGCGGAACCCAGAATGCCAAATCACATGACATAGGTGACCAAAATCATTGGCTAAAAATTAAATATTATTCTGCAATATCGATATCCAGTATTATTTATAATATTATTTAATCACTTTATATTAAATTAATTTAAGAAAGAAAAATCCTTTGGGTAATTACTTTTACAATTAATAATAGGCATTTGGGTGTTGTGCGAAATTACAAATGTATTTAAAACTTAGTATATATTTATATTATCATAATACAGTCAGATATCTCTAAATGCAATACGACGGGACCATATGTAAAAATTTATTCAAGCGTGTATTTAGAGAGGTATTGCATTTAGGAAGGTAAGAATCTATAGGCGTAATATTAGTTGGGCCCAAGAGAAGACGTGTATTTAAGGAGGCTTTTCATAGGACGTACACTTAGAGGGGTTGCATTTAGGGGGTCTGACTGTAAATAAAATTTCAAAATGCAATGACAGATATTAGATAATACTTTTGAAGTGGGAGTTAGTTAAAATCTTAAATTATATAATTTATAGTAATAGTCAATCAAATTATAAATTAGCTAAACATAATACTGTATATATAAAATACTGTATACTGTTTTGTATAGCAAAATTGAGTATTTTAATTGGGTTTAAATAGAGAAAGAGGTATCAGTCAGATGATTTGTCATACTATTTTATATTATTGGCTACTGTATATAAACTAGCATATAACCTGTCACTTTGCTTGAAATTAAGAAATAAGTATAGAGTTAATATATACTATAGTTGTTATAGTGGTTGTAGTGAGTAATTCAAATACATAGGTTTATATTTCAAGGCATGGAATTTAAACATAAACCCGTGGATGCCCCAAATTTGGAAATCAGGTTTTATATATAAAGATGATCTTTTTTATAACCAGCCAATCAAATTATATTTTTGTCTCATAGTGTTTGTTTCTAGTGTTTGTCTTATAGTGTTTGTCTCATAGTGTTTATTGTTATAGTGTTTATCTACACTATTATATATTATATATTGATATATATATATATAGCTATATATTTATATATATTGATTAACTATTTATATACTACTTTAATGGGTAATATATAATCAATATTAAAAAAGACCATTACTTATATTTCTGATTTAAGTAGAAAACAATATATATATATTGTTTTCTACTTACGTTATATTGTTACCTACTTATGAGTATATTGTTACCTACTTATGAGTATACTGCTACCTACTTATGAGTATACTGCTACCTACTTATAAGTATACTGCTATCTACTTATTTTATAGTTACCTATTTTGACCTCTAATAAGCTTGATATTTGCTTCCTTTTAATGATTCAAGTAATATGTAGATAGTATTTGCATTATCATTTAAGAGCCACTATGGCATGTGCTGAGGATAGGCACACAGTATCGTGGCTAATGATAGTAACATATCCTGAATGACGATCCTAGTCGATTTCCATCATCACCTCACATGTGACATAATGTATGCTGGTTTGGTGATTGTGGCCGATTTCCGTTGCTGGATCACATGGGTAAAAAAAAAATATACCGATGATGCATTAGGTCATGTGTCGTCATTTGTGGGCCCGATGTGAGGGCTATGCCCGAACCTGGCATGTAGTGCCTTAGCTTTTTGGTTAATTCCTCAATTAGGGCCAGAGTTAAGGCACGTAGTGCCGAATTGTTAGCAGTTGTTAGCTTCGTATAATTCATTTGATTATCACCCGATGATGAGGCACGTAATGCCGAATTGTTATCATGTCTGGTAATATACCAAAGCATCCGATGATGAGGCACGTAGTGCCGAATTGTTAGCAGTTATTTTGTGTCCGTCAAAAGCATAATTTTTTATAATATATATATCTGTAATAATTTTACTTTTGGCAGACACCACTAGTATACTATGTTTTGCGATCCTAGAACTCTTTCTTGCATAGTTGATACTTTTGGCAGACACCAATATATATCTGTAATAATTTTACTTTTGGTGGACACTAATATATATCTGTAATAATTTTACTTTTGGCGGACACCAATTTTTTTTCGAATTATATAACTAAAATAGTATATATTTTGTGTCTATCCAAAGTGCAACTATCCTGTCTATAATAATTATACCTTGACCGGACACAAAAATGTCTTTATAAGTTGGGTATCTTTTATGAAATTTTTTTCAAATATTGTTTTCAGATAGCACAAAAACCCCTTTGTATAGTTCAAGTACTAAGATAATAATTTTTGATTTGAATTTTTTCTTATATTAATTGTAAGAGGCGACAAAAATCCCTTTACCTGAGATAAATAACTAGCCGAATGTAGCAATCTCTCTGCTTCAGAGATTACTACTTAATTAGATGATAATGTCTTGGCACCTTTACTTGCTTCGCTGAAAGATTTATAACGATTATGCATATTCAATAATTGCTAAAGATTTATTTTTCAGCTCTTTTTTGTGCGGAGTAGTAGGAACTTTCATATTAGTCTCAAAGTTTCGTTTATATTCCAAGAAATCAGCTTCACTCATACTTTCACGTTCTTTTTTCCAGTAATTTTGGTTATCCCGCATCTCAAAAGCAATCTTAGTTCGCCATTGTTTTAACCTTTCTTGAGACATTTGATATTTTTGTTGTAAAAGAAGAATAAGTGTATCTATATCAGATTCATTTTTGATGAGATATTCTGAAGATAAAGATATAGTATCTAAAGATTCAAGTATTTCAATCTTAGTTTCAGTAATACTTGAGAGTTGTTCAAATATATTATTGCAAGAACTCTCTTCATGAATCTCATTACTAGATAATGTAGAATACTGAAATTTTGTTTCTTCTGAAATAGTAATATCAGTGGTAATAGGTATAGAATCGAAAAGTTCTTGAGTTTCATCAATTAATTCTGGCTTGTACAGTGGAAGAACTGGAATTGTAGGGTGATAATTAGGATTATTTAACTTTATAACTATTATTTCTTCTTGAGTTTCAAAACCAGCTCCATTATCTGGCACACGATTAATCCAATATGTTTTTTTCCGTACTCGATTAGTTCTTGGACCTACATGAGTTTCGCCACTCTTAATGGTATAACCACACCAATTTCCTACTATTGTATTAATCAATTTTACTATAGCCTTGAGATCGGGCAATCCTTTAGCTCTGGTTTTAAAACTGAAAAATAATAATGCATCTTCTCGGATTTTAACAATTTTTTCCCGTGATTGCTCAAAAGTCTTAGCTACATCATCACCAGAAAGAATATTCATATCATCTATTGATTGGACAAGATTATGTACTGCTTCCCACTGTTTTGCCGAATAAAATTTATGCAAATCAACTGAGGAAGGGTCCATAGAGTCGTGTGAATCTTCCCATTGCATTTTTTCTTTGATTTTTAAAATTTTTATAGCTTCTGTTGCATTGGAACCTTGTCTTCTGAAATATGCCAGCCTTCTAAAATATTGTAAAGGTTCAGGATTATTATATCTTTTCACGAATTTTTTATCACAAAGTTTGATCTAATCATTATTATTCATACCCCAGTTTCGAATATCATCCTTACCTCCAATATCGCCTGAAGCATATGTTCTCTATAAATAATGTCATTGCAGGGTCATGTTATTAGCAAAAGCATGTTCAGGATTTAGCTTAAGCATTTCAGCTTCATTAGGATTGATATCTGGAGCATTGACTATTAATTCTGCATCAGAACTTTTGATTCTTTCTTCAGTATTCTTAATAGTATAAAATACTTCTGTACGAGAAGCTTTGGCTAATTTGGTATCTTCTACTGTGATTAATTCTAGCGATGCTCCAGTACTAGCAATCAAACTACAAAGAATTTTCAAAAAATATTTGGCAGATAAGCGTCTCTGATATTCAACCTCAATATAGATTTTTACTGCCGGAGATGAATCAAGTATATAACAGTCAGCGATTTTGTTCCATTCACGGCGCCCCTTTATTGCAGTTGGTAAATCTCCAGGTCTTAAGGCCGAAAGTTCTGCACGAATAAGGTCACAATTTGGTTCTTTAAAAATCTCAGAATGTGTTTTACTATTGTAAAGAGAAACAATATGATATGGGCAATCGCGAGTTCGATAAAGCATTTGAGTAAATGCTTCAGTGTATACTTCTGTATTAATATTACTAATTGCTATAACTGCATCAAAATAGTTAGGAATTTCGAATGAGATGTCTGACTCCACAGTACTTGTATAGATTACACAATCAAGGCCACTCCAAGTAGCATTAATATCAGCAAAGTCATCCTGGCGTTGTTTTCCATCCATTTGACTAAAATAAACTCATGATAAAACACATGAACCGTCTGGTTTTTGCAACTTAGATGCTTGATTAGCTATTGCCCGAGCCTTTTTGCAGGAGG